TAGAAATCTATACTGAACAGAAGCAGTGGAGAATATTTTTCTGAGTCTCAGGGCAGAAGCTCTTTCTCTATATTCTTGGTTGAGTGAGCACATCCAGGTGTGAAATTGTTTGCACACCCCAGCACCTCTTATATTGCCAGCAAAATTAGCTGTTATTACTGTCACTGTTTAGTGATGGTTAGCTTGATAAAAAAAAACCTGCTGTAATCAAGACCTGGCGCATCTTTGCAAATTACAGATAATTGTAAACGTCCAGATTATGATAATAGCATCCTAATCCAGCCTGCAATATAATTATTACAGAGTGTTACATCTGAAACTGTCCAGTAGGGCTAATTCAGCCATTATTTAGACCCTATTTTTGCACTGCAAATGGGTTGCTGAGTTGAAAATGTACGATTGTAATTTCACGGGGCACTCAATGAGTAATGGTATAGGGAGAGAAAAATACAAAAGTGGAATGTGAACAGTAGCGATCAAATCAAACTCTGAAGGACAAAAGACTGTTTGATTCATAGGGAATGAGAAGAGCGGGAATTAAGAAAACAGCAAATCAGTGGTCTGCAGCGTTACGTGTCCAAATCTCAACGAGTGCGAGCCTGATGTGCAGTCAGGGGCTGATGCTTCGGTTCAGCATCTCATCAGGTCCACCTCTCGCTCGGCTCTTCCCGGCAGCCTCTCCCTGGCACCCGAAGAATCCCCGCGCTCTCCACCCATCCCCAAAAGTGGGTTCGCCATTGTCGTGTGCCTCCTCTCAGGTGACTGAACGTCACTTTCGGGCAAGAAGCCTCGGGAGACTCGGAATCGGGTGGAGAAGAGTGCGGAATGCGGGACTTCGGGGTTAGGGACTCTCCGGGTGGCTGTGGAGTCCGAGGCCTTTTGCGCTCCCGTGCACCCGTCCTCAGGGGTCCTTAGGGAAATTATCACAAAACCGACTCAATTGTAATTAATTAACCAAAAGAGCCTGGCTAACAGGACTACCTGCAGCTAGCGAGGTTAACTCACTGGGTTAGTTGGCTTTCGACTCCTAATTAACTTTTATTAACCCTGGACACGAAATACAAAAACCCGCTTCATTTTTTAATGGGCTAAATCATCAAAGCGCCGTTGCCGCTGGGCCCCGCAGGACCCGGGGGCAGGGAGGCAGCACCCGGAGCTGGCCCTGTGGGCAGGTCGGCTGCCAGCCTCGGCCCTTGCTGGCCTCCCCGGGCCGCAGCCGCGCTTGGCACCTCGCAGTCTTTCTCTGTGCTCTTTTCTCCATGCGAATTAGTGAAAACACCTCAAAGAAAGGAAAGCTCAGTGGATACCGCGAGGCAAAAGCCCTATAAAACGTGTTATATGGTGCGTATCGAGGAGACTGTAAAGATCTCCTTGAATGGAGGGCCAGCTTCGCAGCCAGGCAGACGATGCCGCTACAGAGCACAGAGTCGGGTCAGGATCTGGCCCGCCGAAGCTGGATGAGCCATCCTGCAAAGCCCGGGCTGAGGTTCAGACAGCCTCTCTGAGAGTGCCAAGGAGACGGCGGCAGCGGGAGGGGAGCGAGAAGTCATCCCCAGACTCCCCTTCTCCAAGTGCTCAATCCGTCGCGGGTTCTGGCTTGGGCCGGCTCCCCGGGGCCTCAGCTGAAGGGAAATAAGGAGGCGAGGGAGCTGGGAGTTTTTCCCGCGACCTTGAAGGTCGTGTCCGTGGAAGCTGTTCTCACAGATAGCCGGGGCGTGGGGTGAGTGTCGGCAATTCTCGGGTCTATATTCCAGGCAGATGAACCATTGCTTATCCACCCCAAATTACACGTAAACAGACGCACCGCCGAACAAAGAGCAAAATATTTAATTGATGCAACACAGATTCTCCCTAAAAAAGAGAGAGAAAGGGAGACTATGCAAACCATGCAGTTCCTTTTTCACGGCTCTTGTCTGACCTATAAAACAGGTTATTGCGTTACTGCAGGCAATCGCTCAAATGACTGAAAGCAAGAAGAGGGGGTTCACACCCCATCCTCCCCCCCCCGCCCCGATTTTCCTGGAGCAATAGATCTCCTTTCCGTAATCCACAACCAAAACACCTAAAGTCTGTCAGTTGCAAAATTACGTGGCAGAAGTCTCTAATCGATGCCACATGTGGGATGCACTCTGGGGACACAGCGCTGCCGGCGGCGGAGCGGGCAGAGCGCGGAGGCCGCGCAGGCAGCGCAGCCGCAGGGGAGCGAATGCACCGGGGAGATCGAGGGGAGCAAGAGGGCGACAGGAACGCCTGACGAGCGGGCTGCCCTGCCGCAGTGACAGGTTGGAGGGGGTGGTTTTTCTTTCCCCGGGGAGGAGCGGGAGGGAAATGGAGGCACTTCTCTATGAGGCAGCCCTTTCCACCGGGCTGGAGGCTCTGTCCGCAGGGAGGTGCGGGGACGCCCGATGAGGGACAGCGAGGGCTCTTTGAAGGAAGCGGGAAGGTGCTCCCCTCGTATTCGTAGGTGGAGGGTGGTCGGCAGTGTGTGTTCCTGGGTGTGGGTGTTGTGGGAGTGCGCCCCAACCGGAGGCCAGTGCAGCCGGGGGTCGATCTGCTGTGGGTGTGAAAGCCCCAGGGGTGTAGGCAGTATCAGGAGCTCTCGATCTGGGGCATCTGGGGCTGCAGGCTGCTCTGTGTGTGTGTGCGTGTGTGTGTGTGTCTGCGCGTCTGTGTCTCTCTGTGTGTGTCAGGCCCTGTGGCTCAGCCCTGGAGCCGCTCGGCACCCACAGGAATGTGGCTCCTCTCGGCTCCCCGAGCTGCCCCGGCTCCACATGGAAGTGGCCGCCAGGAAAACAGAAGGGAGGAAAAGAGAGAGGAGAGGCGGGGGAAAGCCCCGAGCCAGCAATCCACCGAGCCCATACCCATCAGACAAAGGACAGTTCATCTCATCCCCTTCCCGGGGAGGCAAAGGGGGAAGTCTGGACAAGCCAGGCTCCCTCCGGCCGCCGCCAGAGCCCAGGGGGTGCACCCAGGCGGGGACAGGCGCCGGGGTATACCTGCCTGTGTGTGCGGGGACGAGGGGAAAGGAACATCCCCATCGGCCCGAGGTTCTCATGGAGGGGCAGGCGGCCGTAGACCTCCAGTGTTCATTGGGGTCGGCGCCACGGCGAGAGCATATTTTCTCCTGTTTGGGGCAGGGATGTCAGACTCTCCCCAACCAGCCCAACACCATCCCGATCTGGGAGGAGGGGAAATTAAAAGGGAGAGGAGCCGGCAGGAGAACCGAGTGGAGCTGACTCGGCTGGCTTGGAGAAAGGAGAGTTGCCAGAGCCCAGTCCAGTGGTGGCTGTGTGAATTCCTATCCCTGCCTGGGATGGGAATTCCATCCTGCCTGCCGGCATCCCACTTTCCCGGAGCTGTTCTTGCACTGTCCTCCTGGGCCCTCCCGGCCCCTGCAGGTTACCGTAATCAAACAGCCCCGCGGCAGCTGCTCAGAGAAAAGGGTGGGTGGACCGACCTGGGAAATTGACTTCCACCTCTTGTGTCCAAGCCTTTCTGCAAAGGGAAGTGACCCGGGGAAGGGAGAATCTCTTACTGCAGGTTGAATGTTTGTCTAGAGGGAAATGAGGAAAAGAACGGAAGAAAATTAAAAGGTCAAGCTTTTTTTTATTTTTGTTTTTAGTTGGTTTTCTTTTTGCACAGGGTGGAAGTTAGCAGAAGAGACAAATCCGAGCTTTTCGTGAGCCCCAAAGTCGGGGAAAGTACCTGAAACCTTGAGAGTGAAATGAGCAGAAGCCGGTCCCCAGAACCGCTTGGGACACGGGGAGCGGCAGAGCCCGCCCGGCAGCAGACAGGGGTGGGCAGCCGGTGGTGGCTCTGACACCCCCACACCCTGACGTGCATGGAGCACAACCGAACAAACTGGTCTATTGTACTGCAAGACATTTACCAACCCCCAAACCTGTTACAAAACAGCAACCCCGGGCTTCTTTCTTTGGGAAGAAAACTACTCACGCACATGCACTCACGCACACGCACAGAACATGGCAGGCAGGAGCGGAGGGAGAAGAAAGGAGGGGGAGGACAGCAGGGAGAAAGACAAGAGACAGGTAAGTGTGCCCCAGGGCAGGAGCGTGCCTTTTCAGGCCTTGCCTCCCCCTCTGCCAGCACTCTCCCCTCCAGCCTCGGCTGCCAGGGAGGCATTTTTTATCTCGGGGATCCTTCAGCGATGCCTTTGGCACATTCATTGCTGTCGTCGTACCCTGCACGGCCGTGAATTACCGCTCCCCCCTTGGAAGGAGTGTCCCCGCGGGAACGGCTGCCGGGGGGGCCCCACCGGCCGGGGTTTCTGCTGGGAGAGGGGCCCACGCTCCATGAGAGTGCTCCCAAGCCAGTGGGCAGCGCACCGGCCACTCCGCCAAAGCCGTGCCTCCAGCACCGCACAGCGCTAGCGACGGCTCTGCTGCACGGTTTTTTTCCCTAAATCGTGTACCTAGAGATAAAACAAAACCAATAAAAGTACCTCTCCAACGTCCCTCTTTCAGCCGCAGCCGCCGTAGGCTTTTACCAGGAGCGAGGGGAGCAGGGCTCTCATTTTATCCTTTTCACATATTTAGTGGCTCCCTTTGACGGAAACATAATTTGTATAATTAGCTGAGCGCACATGGGCGACTGATGGGCTGTGGAGTGTGCAGCTCTCGACGTTAATTGCTCTCAGGAAAGGATTCGGGGCGGCTTAGGCGAGAGACTTGCTTTCTAGCGTCAGGATGGGCAGCTTTCCCTTCGGCTTAAATCACTAAGGTGCGATAAGGTGTACGCGGTCCTGTCAGAGCCCCTTTTCCAGTGGGAAGAGAGCACCGCTGCCCCTTGGTTCGTCCGTGAGGACCTGCAAGGGCCACATCCTGCCAGCACGCCCGGGCTGCGGTGGCACTGCACGGCACTGCAACCAAATGTGAACTCCCAGCTCCCATCCTCTTTCCTCTGTCTCTCTCTGCAAGCAAATCAGTCATATTTTTTCCCTCTTATTAAGAGAACAAGGGGTAATTTGGAAACCTTTATCGTGGTCGAAATAATTTTATTTTATTCAGAATATACAGTTTAATTCCTGTATCTACAATTATTTACAGGGTTAAAATAACATTGAAAAAAGTCTCTGGAAAAATTGAGGTCATAGATTTCAAGGCACCATTGATAGTGTCCACAGCTGAGCCAAAAAATGTCCGTATTGTATAAAAAAGGGTTTCCTCTGAAATGCAATAAGTTACATGCACAAGCTTTACACATTTTAATCTTTTTGTTTGTTTCTTTTCCCTTTTAAAAATTCCCCATATGCATTCCTTTCGTTATTATTCCTTAACAGTAAAACACAGGAGTCCAAGGAACAGCAAAAAAAATAATAAAAAAAATAAAATAATAGAGGTCAGACTCTAATAAATTGTCCCAGAGCCGAGTGCTAACGGGTGCTGTAGGGAGCCGTGGGGTTGGAGGTGGGAGTTGATGGAGTTGGCAGCGGGATACCAGGAAGTGGAGTTCTCCAGGTAGCTGGATGCAGGGGACGGGTTGGAGTTTGGAGGGTGAGCGTGTGCGTGGGCATGGTGGCTGAGGGAGCGGGACGAGCCCTGAGGTTCCCAAACCGCAGGTGACTGTGGAGAGTTGCAGGCCATGGGGTCGCTGGAGCTGGGGCTGTGCTCCGGAGGCATCTCCCCGTTTTTCATGATCTTCTTGATCTTGGATCTTTTATTCTGAAACCAGATTTTCACCTGGGAGCGGGGCAGGAGGAGAGGAGAATAGAGAAAAGAGGGAGTGGGGAGGGAAAGCGACCATTAATGCCCCAGCTGGTGCTTCGCGGCTCCGGGAACCCGCGCCCTGACGCCCTCCCGCCCCTCCGCGAGGGCCGATCCAGCCCTTCCCGCCGCGCCAGGGTGAACGCGGGGTTCTGCGAACCTCCGGGGCCGAGTCGAGCCGAGCCGAACCGCTCGTGGTACCTGTGTCTGCGTGAGTCCCAGGGAAGCGGCCAGCTCAGCCCGCTCCGGCAGGGCGAGGTACTGGGTCTTCTGAAACCTCCTCTGCAACGCCGCCAGCTGAAAGCTGGAATAAATAGTCCGGGGTTTGCGCACTTTCTTTGGTTTGCCGTTCACCATCCGCACCTCGGGCTCCGCCACCTCCTTCTCTGCACGGGCGCAAGGGCGGGAGAGAGACAGACGCAGACGTTAAGGCGCGGGACAGGCTCCGCTCCGCGCAGATCGCGCCGACTGCGGCGGCATCCCGCCCCCGGGCCGGGCCGGGCCGGGCAGCGGCGCCGGCCCGACGGGCCCCTGCGGTTCCCCCCGGGGCTCTGCCGCCGGGCGGCGGCCCCGAGCAACCTCCGCCGGCTTCCGCGGTGAGACGGGAGGGCCCCGCTCCCTCCGCGCCAGGCCTTGGCCAACCCCGGCCCTCCCCCGCCTCCCGCTCCCGTCCCGGGCATCCTGCCGGGCGCGCACCTCTGCGCGGCCGTGAGCGGGAGCGCGGGGCGTGCGCGGAGGACAATTGGTGCCCTGCTGGCAAGAGCCCGGTCCGGAGCAGAGACCGACCCAGGGCATCTACCGCTTCCCCCGCACGCCCGTGCATTCCCCCCGCCACCGCCGGCGTGTCCCCAAGCGCCGCCGCGACCGCACTCGTCCCAGCCAAGCCCCAGCCGCTTGGCTTCGCCACGGGATTGCTTTTTTAATTCTCCCTGTCCCCTTCTTTTTTGTTTTTCTTTTTTTTTTCCTTGTTTTTTTCCCCTACAGCAAGTTACAAAGAAGTACAGGGAAAGCACTAAAACCGCGGCGCTTTCTGGTAAAAACACTCCCGGCTTCGCAGCCCCGCCACGGCTGGGCTCCCCCTCCCACTCTCCTCCCCCACCCCTTCGGCATAGGGGGAAGGAAACTTTCAACACCGCGAACCTGAGTTTGAGACACGCAACAAGGCTCGGCTATTTTCTCCCTCTTCTTGAAGGGGTAAGGAAGAGGGAGGTAGTCGTGGCGGCCCGGGGGCAGCTGAAAAAAGTTTGTTGCTAAAGCACTAGTCCTAGGATTTGTGTTTTAGATCGTGCGGGCTGGTAAAAGAAAAAAAAAAAGGTAGACCAGCTCTCCACCTTTTTTTTTTCTAATTTTCTCCCCCCCCCTCCCCAAATGTATCTGTTTATTTATATTTAGTTCTCCCTCTGATTCAGGGAAAGCTGCATCCCCGCTGCCCCTGAGTCAGGGATCTGCCGGGGCGCGCTCTCCCAGCCTCCCCAACGCCGCTGGAGCTCCCCGCACCCCCCCGGCCCCCGGCCCTCACCTGGCTGGCTGGCGGAGCTCTGAACGCGGTTGTAAGCTCCGCTGTACTGGTGGTAGGGGCTGGCGTAGCTGTAGTCTGCATAGGCTTTGGCAGGATAGTTCCCGGCAGATCCGTTCATGCCGTGGTACTGATACTGGTAGGGGTTGAGAGCTTTGCCGTAGGAAGCCGAGGTAGGCGAGCAGTAGCCGTGCGGGGCTCCCCCCGCCGGGCTGTAGTAGTCGGAATCCGTAGCCGAGGACTCGGGTAAAGTGGGAGATTCCTGGGACGGGTGGTGCATGGCTGCAGCCGTCTGGAAAGTAGCCTGGAAGTCGCCGGATCTGATGTTGGGGACCCTTCTGTCAAATACTCCTGTCATAGCTGGGAGCCGGCGGCGGGCTGGGGCTGGCGGCAGGGCTGCTCGGGTCTAAGCAGACATGTCTGGGGGAGGAGGCTGCGGCGCGGTGTCTGTCTCCGGCAGACTGCTGGCTGGGGCGCAGCATAGGCTTGGTTAAATCCTTAATTGCGCTCTTACGCACAGCAGGGTGGATCGGGTTCCATTGGCCAGAGCAATCGGGAGCAGCGACACCCTAACTCGTCCAACTAGTTTAGCACAACAAAGCTTCGGCTTAAAAAAAAAAAAAAGGTCCCATTCAAGCTCTTTTAAAGTGAATACCAACAGCAATCTCCGAGCCGCAGCGTCGCGATTGGGAGGTTTCCGGCTCCCCCCACTCCTGCAGCCAGCGAGGGGTCTCGGCCAGCCTCGCCGCCCTGCAGCCCGGTGCCCCCGCACCCCTACCTGCAACGCTGCGGGGGAAGGCTGCAGCCACGCCATTCGGATTTGCCATCCGGTCCCCCTTGGGTGTGTTGATGGCTTGGGAGCAACGCACCGTGCGCTCCTGGTTCCCAGCACGTTTTCTGATCTGGTGACGCTAAATATTAGTGTCTGACCGGACTGTTTCGCTCGGGTCGTCCTCCCTCGCAGGGGGAACGCCGGCCGGGATCGCCGCGCTACATACAGCAAACCCTATTACCCCCAAATATCTCGAATTTTAGTTACATCATTTCCTGCATTTCCAAGACCCTTGCACGACCCGAAGCCAGGCGGGAGACTCCCGGCATGACGCCCAGCCGTGGGAACGTGGGGAAGCTGCTAATGGCACCATACGGCCTAAGGGCACGCACCCTGCGGATTTTGCGAAAGGCGACCTGCCCGTGGCACGATGTCCGTGGGTGGAGAACCCCCGACCCCCTCGCCAGCGCCGGCGAGGCGAGGCGCGCCTGGGACCGCTCGGCCCCACGCGTGCCCGCACCTCAGTGCCTCGTGGCGATGCTCACCATCTGGTTCGGCTCCAGCCCAGGGTCAGAAGCCCTTCGTGAAGGGAGCTCAAATCACCCTCACGCGTAGGCAGGATCACTGTGAGGCCGCCGTGGGGCTTCTCGACTTGGAGGCCGTCGCAAGAGCTCACTTTCCGGGTGACAGCCCCCAAGAAGTGACTGCTGCTGTGCGGAGGTGTCCTCCCCACAGCACCCTGGCCAGCAGCACCCTCCTTCACCTGTACCAGGTTTTCTGAGCCCATCTACGCAGCCATGTCCCAGGCAACGGTCTCCGTGGCCGGGCCGTGGAGAGGCAGGGGCTGGTGATGCCTGTCCCTCGTGATTTTACAGCAGCGTTGCAAAAAAAAAAAAAAAAAAAGATCAAATTTTACTAGACACCAAGGAAAACAAATAAAAGCCTGTTTTCAGTGACCCGGAGTTGTAGGTTTTTCTGAAATTGTTTACTCTCCAGATTTAGCCTGTTTGCTCACCGAAGATCTCCCAGCCAGCTGAGTAACACTAGTAACACAACCATGCATGTTGTACTTGAACTTATTGTTTGCTTTGGAAATGTCCACAGCTCATATAAAATCACATTAAACAAATCCCTAAGCATTTCATGATATTAATTACTTGCTTAAATCCATTGGAAGTATCCCTCCTCCATTTTTTTTTTTAAGAGAGGAACTGCATAGGGATGTATGTTTACGATTGGGGAAGGGGGAAGTAAGTTTATTAAAGCTCCCAGTTTGCATCCAGTTGGAAAGGACGGTAGAGGTTTTAAAGAGAGAAGGGGGGGGGGAAAGCCCATTTGTGTCATAAATTCCAGGGCACTGCACTTCAACACGTCCGGGCAGGAAGGTGCCGTTTGAAGGGAGAGAAAGGAGAGAAGCTGGGCGCCGGTCTCGCACCCAGCCCCGGCAGCTCCGGAGCCGCGGCGGGTCCCGGCCAAGCCGTCCCGACAGGCTGCTTGTGCGGTTCACCGGGGAAATCTGGATCGGTTTCCTACAGCAGAGAAAGTTTGCTCTTGTTTTATTCAGTGGCAAGGCAGGGGGAAAAAAAGTTTCGATATTAAAAGGAAAAAAAAAAGGCAGAAACCCACCAGATCCAACCGCAACCCCCCCAAGCTGATTTCTTTCTGAAGGCATCTGCCGCCGCTGCAGTCCGTGCGAGGATTACCAGGCTGAGGGCACACAAATCCGCCTGTTTGCGGGTTTCCTGGCCCCCCGACCGTCCAAACCCGAACCCTTTTTTCTTGCCTTTCTGCTGTTTTCCCCCAGCGGTTTTTATTTAACACATCCGGTGGGAGCGGGCGGTTCGGAGGGAGCCGGAGTCTGTTTTCCATTTCACAATATGGTCATTGTTTACCGGCACATGCCCACCGCGTCGCCTGAGCGGCTGCCCGGGACCCCCGCGGCCCGTTCGGGCCCAAACTCCGCTGACCCTCGGGGCAGAGGGTGGATGTGTCCGTGTGTCCGTGTGTCCGTGTGTCCCCGTGTGTCCGTGTGTCCCCGCGGCCGCCGCCCGTCCCGGCGCGGGGGCACCGCGCTGTCCGTGCCCGGGCCAAGAGCGCCCCGCCGTGGCCGCGGGGCCGCAGTGCCGCCGCCGCGTTACCTGCGCGCCGCCCGCCCCCCCCGCCCCGCCGCCGCCGCCGCCCCCGCCGGGGCCAGACTGAGCGGCGGCGGCGGGCGCGGAGCCGGGCGGCCCCGCCAGCGCTGTCCCCGCAGGGCACGGGCACCGGGGCGCGGGAGCCGCCGGGCCGGCGGCCGCGGCCGGACAACGCGGCGATTGTTCCCGCCAGCGCCGGGGAGCTGCCGCGGGGGCGGCGCTGGGGCCCCGACGGAGCGGGCCGGGCGCTGTGTCCTGGCCGGTGCCCGCCGGCCGCCCCGCCCTGCCCCGGCGCTGGCTCGGCAGTATCCCCACCGGCCGAACCCTCCGCCTGGGTTCAGAGAGGGCTCTCCGTCCCGTCTCCCTCGGTAGCTCTTTGTTTCCAGCCAACGAAAGAAATATTTCGGATGAGCCTCTCAAGACTTTTGGATAAAGTCTTGCAATTGTTCGCAGAAAATCTTTCACTTTCTGGATAAAATATTCGCGCTTGGGCACTGACTTTTTGCTGGAAACTTTATTTGCATGGAAATTGCTGGCAAAGAATGAAAGGAAAATTTTTCCCCTTCCTTAAAAAAAGGCCCAAACAGCCCTCCGCAGTGGAAACATGGATTAACTCTTGTTTTACAGCATCAGAAAATGGTGATTTTCATTCATCAACTTCAAGAACTGAGGGCTTTCCTCATTTTAGGCTTAGGACTTGTTTAACCAGGGAAGTATTTTCAGAATGAAGAGGCAAAAGGGATTGAAAATCACATAAAGCTGTGAAAAAAAATTACGTCTGTTTTCAGTATGGGCAAAAGCTATTGGGGATCCAGTGGAGAGGGCTAGTAAACTAGTCAGAAGGATGTTCACACACAGTGATAAAACGAAGAAAGTCAGGAAGGGATTTTGGAAAGCAACAATTGGGAGCAGGGCAGGAGAAATAAATCTGACAGAAAACTCAGGGAAGGTATCTAAGACTTTTTGCTCAGATTTCAGTAGCTTTCTGCAGAGTCTTCCGCTCTGGATATAGCTCGTTTAGGGAGAGGAGAAGGGGCATTTCTCCACCTAGGCATGACATGGTCAGCTTTGGGGAACTTAAGTAACTCCAAAAGGAAAGAAGGTTTGTGTTCCTGTGAAGGTTACCATCTGTGTTGATGGAAGGATGGACGTGTGAACTTGGGGTCGAAGCGTATCTGGTCCCTCACACACTGTAGCAGGTGTTGTTTTTACCCTCCATCTCAAAGCACTCCCTAGACTCCAGTCATCTCCCATCCCTGGAACAGCCTTTTCTCTTCCAGTTTCTTGAGCATACCCAAGAAACGTTGGGCCTCCAGCTAACGAAGCGAACCTGTCACTTTGGCATTTCCACAGCTGATGGACTCACTGCCAGGCTTGGCTGCAGCCTGGGCTCCACTGGCCTTGCTTGTCCAGCCTGTAAATTGCACTGCGCATAAAAACCATGACGTACAATGTTAAGAATTAGAATTTGCTTTCTAGGGCAAATAGTGACTGTCTCTTTCTCTTGCCAAGGAGCTGACATGAAAAGCTTACACTTGCACCTATTTACTTCAAATTGCAGTAACACAAGTGAAGAGAGGAGCCAGGGCTTCTTGTTAAAGTCATCTGTAGCAGACTGAGCTGAATGTGGAGGACAAGATGATTTTAAGAGATTCCTGGAGATGCAAGGCTCCTGCCTGCATCCCCCCTTCGCTCCTTTCTCGGGGTGTGCCTGTGAGGGTCACTGAGGTGCTGCTTGGCTGTTTCTTGTTGCATCCCAACCTTCCCAAGGCAAGGCATTGCCTGGCAGTCACAGTCCAGCCATAGCCTGCTCCTCCAGAAAGATAAATAGTTAATGAACTCAGTCATTCCTTTCTCTTTTGGAGCTCTGTCCACATGAGCTCATGGGACAGATGGGGAACTCCCATTACTCTTCAGTTCATGGGCTCAACATGTCTGTGGCCTATTTCAACAAACAAGATCTTCTCTCGGCTGGGCAGGATGTTTCAACAAAAGCTTGTCCTAGTCTTTTTTTCCCATTTCCAGCCCACATGATTCCATTGCAGTGTAACACTGGCTTCTTTCTGAGGTCATGGAGGACAGCAAAGAAACATCATCAGAAAGCCCAACTTCTCCCAACAGAGTTGTTCTTCTACCTGCCTGCTCCACAGGTAGCTGGATGTTGTTATTCCAGGAGCCGTAGGTTCTTCGACTGATGTGAGGCCCAGAGATTTCCAAGAAAGACAAGACACAAAACCATATGGAGCCATCTCCAGACCTGCAGTTTGGGTCAGCAGTGAGAGTTGCAGAGCCTCCCTGCACAGTTGCCTGAAGTTTCCATAACAGACCTTTGAGCACGGATCTGGAGCTGCATGGGCAAAGTTGCTGCTGGAGGTAGTGCTTTGATGCAGAGCATGAGCCAGCACTGCTGGAGAGCTGAATGTAAAATGTCTCTTTGCCAGAAACACTACAGGGAAAATGTTTGCGCTAGCTGCCCTTGCTGCCCGGCAGCAGTGCCACAGGGAGTCCACTGCAGATGTCTGGCATGGCAGATGGTGGTGGC